AACAGAACATCCCGGCGGGCCAAGCCCAGCTCTGCTGTGGATGGCAAAGGCAAGACCGCTTCACTTTCAGACCTGGCCCACGTGTCTGTCTCTTCTCGCTCCCCTGCGTGTCATTCCCCGGCTCACCTAGAAGCCCAGGTCCCAGAATGACTGTGGAGCAGAGCACCTCCAGACTCGCAGTTTGGTTGGATTTAATATGAGCGAGAAATTAACTTGGCTCAGGTGAGACAAGGCAGGGTTGATATAGCTAGCAGTCGACTCTGCGCCTCTCTGTCTATTTTAGAACCCCACAAAGTGGTCCAGGTAACCTTCTTTTCAACAAGGAACATTGCTGCTTTTGTCACTAGAAGTCAGTTTAGATTTTTAAAAGCCTTAGGCTGATGAAGTTCCCTCTGGTCTCTACTCAACAGCCACCATGTCCATTTTGCTTTCCCTGGGGTTTCCATTGAGTTCCCTCCACCCCCCGCCTGTACCCCCAGCCTGGCCCAGTGGAGACGCTGAGCTGGTTGAGAGGTCTCTGCCAGGAGGCGGATGGCAAGGGCCTCGGGGACTCTGAATCAAGCCCTCGGGCCCCCACATCCTGGAATTCAAGTCAGTTGGGATCTAGCTGAAAATGCACCACCTCAATCTAATTGTGAAGAAACCTCTGCCAATACAAAAAGAGGAAATTTCATTAAAAAGTCAAGATGTGGGGGCGGGAAATCTGGGTTTCTTAAAAGGATCAATGTCATCAGAGGCAAAGAAAGGCTCAGGTTAAAGGAGGGGACAGAGGAATGCAGCCCCTGGGGGGGGGGCGGGGGGGCTTCCTGGGGCTGAAGCAGGGTGCGGCTGGGCCTGTGCAAGGTAGGCTCCAGGTGTCTGTGACGCGGAGACTGCAGGCCGCATTAATCCTCCAGTCTTAGAGAAAGAGGGCAGGGCAAAGGCCCAATGTGTGCGTAACTCATCCTCACGCGATTCTAGGAAAGATGTTTGCAGAAAGCGTGAGGGGTGCTAATAATAAAGCGAAGGGGAAAAGCCACTAACAAGCCACAGTTGTAACCCGGATGCGCCTCTCTGCTCGTGCTGCTTCTATTCTGGAAGTTTTTGGAATCTGAAATTGTTTCCAAAATGAAAGGCTTAAAAAAGGCTCCCCCGATTTAGCAGCAGACTGTTTATGGCACACAAGATGCCACGTGGACCTGCGTGTAAAGCAGGGACAGGCAGGGTTGTCTGGGGCGAAGCTGTGTGGGGCCGGGACTGCCTGGTGCCTTCGGTGGCCCGTGGGTGCTTTGTGGAAGCAGCTTTGGAAACCGCGGCTTGAGTTCAGCCTGCACGCTTCTGGGTGGGGGAGGCAGCCGTTCCTGCCTCTAAGTGTCCACTGGACATTTACACGCCGGCTTACTTGCATCTGATCCCTATAATCTCCCTGAGTGAGGAGGTCCTGCCTCTGTTTACGAGCGAGATTCCCCAAGGTTCCGAAAGGAAGGACCTCCTTGGGCGCCTGCTGCCCAGGAGTTTCCTGCGTGCCCCCCGGCCCTGCTCGGCCACCCTAGGACCTGGGCTCCTCGTCCCGGCCTAGACACAGGCAGAGGCCCACGAGACTCCCGTCCCAGGCAACAGCCCCGAAGCTGGGCTTCAAGGCTGGGAGCAAGGAGAAACCAGCAAGCCTTGAACCTGCTTCCTCTCGGTGAAGACGCTGAGGCGCTAGGGGAGCAGCTGCAGGTTGAGAGCAGAGGAGAGGCTGGGAGCTGCAGCCCTGAGTCCAGTGCTCACCCAGCAGTGGGAGGGAAACATCACCTCCCTTCCCCTCTGGGTGAGAAGCCTGTTCCTAGAGGGGACTTCCCTCAGAGCCCTAAATCCAGCCTGCACTTCTGGGATGGGGGTCTCCCTGCCTGGGATGGGGGTCTCCCTGCTTGGGATGGGGATCTGGGCCTGGGATGGGGGTCTCCTTCCCTGGGATGGGGATCTCCCTGCCTGGGATGAGGGTCTCCCTGCTGAGGTTAGGGGGTCTCCCTGCCTGGGATGGGGATCTGGGCCTGGGATGGGGGTCTCCCTGCCTAGGATGGAGATCTCCTTGCCTGGGATGGGGGTCTCCCAGCCTGGGATGGGGATCTCCCTGCTGGGATTGGGGGGTCTCCCTGCCTGGGATGAGGGTCTCCCAGCTGGGGTTGGGGGTCTCCTTGCTGGGACTGGGGGGGGCTCCCTGCCTGAGATTGGCTTCTGAATCAGTACCAGAATCCAGCCTCCCTGGGTTTCCAGAGTGGGGAACAATGGGCTCCCTTGTTGGGCTTTGTTCTTTCACTACTGTGCCTGGTCATGACCTCTTAAGCAGCTGCTTTTCTTTTCTTACCGTCTCCCCTCAAAATGAGCCGTCCCCCTTCCCATCTACCCCCCACCCCCGCCACCAAAGTTTTTAGCAAACGATTCATTGTCAGCAAAAAACAGTGTTCGAAAATCACTGGCTACTATCCAGACACTGGGTGTTTGGAAGGCTTCCAGGCAGCCCAAGGCTTCTGGGAACTGGCACTTGCCGATATGGAACTGCCCTTTCAGCCCCCACGCAGCCTTCCTGATAACGCCCCGGGTCTGACCCTGACTTGACGTGGCTTGGGGAGAAGTGATTCCCCTACTAGAAGTCCAGATGGGAAGGTCACAGTCCTCAGCTAGGTGCAAACCGCAGACTTATCTCAATTGCGTCCCTCTCCAGGCCAGCAGGGTCGTGTCCACGTAACCCGGGAGACTGAGGCTCGGGGCACCTGAGTGACCTGGACACAGGCGCAGCTGGGAAGGAAGCCCCACAGGGAGCTGTTTGCCAGGGCACCCCGGTCTCAGCGGGAGCTCTTGGGCTGTGTGGGACAAACGGAGACCCCTTCCTCTTCCGAGGTCCTCTGAGACCCCAGGGTCAGCCTGTCTGTCCTCTCTCTGAGGCGATCACACTTCCGGCACAACTCCGTTTTTGGCTGCTCCCTCTCCCCACGCTGCAGGATACCTTCTGGCCACTCCCTCCCCGCTGGGGCCCCCTGGTTTGGACACGGTCTGAGAAGTTTCTGGGCTTGTTTCTGGCCAGTGCTTTGCCAGCCCACAATGGGCTCTTAACCTTCCCTTCATGTCTCTGATGTGAAGAGACACTCACTTTCCCGGCATCCCCAACCCCGAACTGGCCATATGCAGTTGTTAAAGCTCAGGGCTCTGCAGGCAGTTTACCAGCCCCCCACCTTTCTAGAGATTTTTAGGGTACTCAGTTCTGCAGGTCACATTCTAGGGTTGTTCTCTGGACCCCAAGCTGCACAGGATACCAGGCCTCAAAGTCTAACATCCACAGCACGAAAGGCCCCTCCACGTCAAGTTGCCAGCTCCACCTCCACCCTCTCCTCCACTCCCACTTCCAGCGTTACGAGAAAGAGTTCACGCGGTGCTAAGTCCGCGTGGTGTCTGCTTCTCAGGAACGATGCCCACTCTAACAAACAGCCCTAGAACACAAATCATTTTCATCTAAAAGAGAGACTCCCACCTGGAGGCTGGGGTGCGGGCTGTTCCAGACCCAAGTGACAGCTCTCCTAGGCCAATGGGAATTTGCACCCCACCCACACACTAACTATAGCTCGCTGTTGGCCTACGGGAATAAAACTCCACCTCAACATTGCATCTGCCCTTCTCTAAACAGATGGAGAACCAGCCGCCTTTGGTTGCATCCAACGTTACATATTGCATTCGTTGTCCCCAACAGTCACAAGTGACTCAACCATTAGGGGTCTTAATTTTCCCTCTCTGAAAAGCAGCCACTTCAAGTGAGGAAGGAAACCTCAGGGGTTTACTTAACCTAAGGAGTTAAGGGAATCATTCAAGGTGACACACAGGTATGAAGGGCCAGGCAAGGAATATGAATCCAGGTCTGTGGGCCCACAGAGGGAAGAATCCCTCCACTCTGTACCAGCACTGTTGTACGGCCATTCGGGTTGCCTGCCACACAGGGTGTCCACCGGAGTGGGGGCACAGCCAGGCAGCACAAGGCGGCACAGCCAGGGTGCACATACAGTGATGTCTGATGCCGTTGGTGTGCGCCTGGGAAACGGATCAGAGGGGCCCCCCGATTCCCCTCCCTCTATCTGCACCCTTGCAGTGAGGCTCTGTGGCTCTTTCCATCAAGCGGGGACATCTAGTTCCTCACTCCCAGCTGGTCTGTGGTTAGATCAGTTGTGCAATATGTTAGATGACTTTGTGTCAGTTCAAGCCAAGTCCCTGAGAGCCCTTGCAGGCTCTGCCTGCTCTCTAGGGCCTCCGCTATCGCCACGGGCGCAAGCTCAGGCTGACCTGGTCTGGTTACCCCCATTCCAGACCCATCATCAGCCACTCGACCACCCAGCACCGGAGCAAGGCCGCCCGCCGAGGCCAGCCAGCCTCCTGCAACCGGCCTGGCCCAGACACACGGGCAGCTCGAGCGCACGTGACCCACCAGCAAATGCCTAACAGGAGCAAGAATGAGCGCCATGGGGTGAAGGGGGCCGTGGAGCACGGAATCGTGTCCAGAGGACGGCAGGCGGGAGGCCTGCAGGGACGGGAGCGGGGCTGCCACAGCCCACAGCTACCACAAGGAGGAGAGCGGTCTAGGGACACCCGGCCGAGGGCCTTTCCACACGTAATCGCAAAGATCCAGTCTCCAGAACTGTGAGACGAAACACTTCTAGTGGTTTAGGCAGCTGCTTTGTTCGAGCTGACTTAGGGCGCGAATCTAGCCCCTTTCCTGATTCAGTGGCGCCACTGTCCGGCTGGCTTCCTTATGGCCCTCCTGGGGGGCAGCCAACCGTCGCCCACCTCCTCCCCTAGGCGGTCCCTGAATTTTAAGCCCACCTGGCCCAGTCCTCCCCAACAGAACTCCAATCTGGCAAGGCTCCTCTAGCATCTCCCCAGGGCCCTGGGGCCCGGGGCGGGGGGGGGGGGCAGGTGGGGTCACAGACCCATGGAATCCACAGCTCCTGGGCCAGCGAGAGCCCCAGCTCCGGCCCCTCCCAGCCGCCACCTACCCGGGTTGCCGAGCGCCATGGAGTCATAGATGAGCTTGCAGGTCTTCAGCAGGATGGCGATCTTCTTCTCGGGCGAGTAGGCCTTGTGCATGCTGGTGAACTTCTGCAGGATCTTCTCCATGACAGATGCCTCCGGCACGCTGGTGGTCACGCCCAGGTCAGTGGTGGTGGTGGCCAGGATCACCTGCTGATTGTCCTTGAGCTGCTGCAGAGAGCCGTCCTTGCTGTGGATCTCTCGCAGGCAGGAGTTGATGGTTTCTTTCAGGGGCTTCAGGACACACTTGTACAAGGCAGACTCCACAATCGCTTCTGTGGGAGGTTGGAGGGGGGGAGGGTAAGAAAACTGGCAGCAGGATTCCTGCCCCACATCTTGCTGCCCACTGGGGTGGCCATCCCTGTCTCCTGGCCCCTGGAAGGATGCACTGACGCCCCCACAGTAACATCCTGAGACACTGTTGGACAGGCACTGGGAAGACTCTGCCCGGACTGACGCATTTCATCTTCACGATTTTCACGGCGTCTGGCACAGGTAAACTCTCTGGCTGCCTCTCACGCCATAACTTTAGCGGACACTAGTCACGCTGGTGTTGTGCAGTGCACAACCTGTGCAGCTGGACACAGAGGGCCTGGGTACCCATTATGCGTGGTGGAATTTTCCCATTTCCAAATCCACTTGACCCCGCCTCAGGAAAGCTGTGCGTGCTCAGCCAGGCTTCTCGCACTGCCACGCTACCACTTCACTTGGCTGCTACCATCTCTTGGCCCGAGTTATATTCACAGCCTGGCCCCTTTCAGTCCAGTCTCAACACAACAACAGTATAATCCTGCTAAGTAAGGCGTGCCCGATCGTGTCATTCGTTTTGGGTCTTTCAGGGGCTCCCACCCATGCATAACAGAAGCCGGCGTCCTTCCCATGGCTCCACAGGCCCCCCTGTCCCTGCGACCTCTCCCTGGCACCTCACTCTCTTTCCTGTGCTTGTACTGCTCCAGCCTCACTGCCACCCCGTCATGCAGCCATCCCGCCAGCCTGCTCCTGCCTCAGGACGTTTGCACCGGCTGCTCCCTTAGCTTGCAGAAGTCAGTCACCTGGCTTATGGTCACTGCTCAACTGCCTGTACCCAGGAGAACATCCTGATGGCCTAGTGGAAAGGGAGTCGGTCAGCGCTGATCTCCCAGTAACTGCACACACGGGCCAGGCTCCGGTGGTCTGGGTCACATGCCAGTGGGGGCTGAGCAAAGATGTGGACCCCTGCCCACGAGTTCGCTTGCTTTGGGTGACAGCAGGGAAATATTCGTGGGAAGCCTTTGGCGCTATTCTGTCTCCAGGGGGAGGGTGTTGGCTACGGGTCCAGCAAGGGGAGGCCCCATACCTGTACCCCAAGGGAGACACCTGAACTTCCCCTTTACTGGAGGGTGAGTTCAACCACGCTCCCGTGGTTGAGTCTCAAGAGAGGCCATGTGCCCCTTCCGCCGCCACGCAGGCCGCCGCTGGGTCAGGCTGGGCTGGGGGCTGTCCTGCCACTTCCCTCTCCCCTGTGCTTCAGCGACCTCTTCAGCCACGGCGCATCCGGCTGCCTTGTCCCCCTGCCCCCTGGGCCCACATCAGCCTCCAGGCCCGCACCAACAGCCTCCTGCAGCTGGAGCCAGGTGACCCGGAGGCGGGGTCTGCACTGCCTCGCCCCTACCCTCGCGCCCCTGTGGCCCTGGCCAGTCTCTCTGCAGTCCAGGGCCTGTGCGAAACGAGAGGCTGTGCCCAGGCCCTCCGGGGTCCCTCGGTCTCCGAGAGCCACAGCATCTCCTGAGAGACTGCCCCCGGCCCTCAGCAGCCACAGGCACTGGTACAGCGTCTGCCCGTTGTTGCTCTGTCTCCCTGGCAGCCCAGGGGGCCGCGTGGCGGGTCCTGCCCAGCCCCTCAGGTGGCTGCAGCTTCTCCGCCTCTAACAGGGCACAAGGGCAGAGCTCTGCCATGGAGGCAGCGGAGCGAGCGGTCAGTGCGTGGGGAAGGCGGGCCGCTGGGCCTCCCGGCCCCTCCCGCCCGCTCCCCGCCCGGCCCGGACTGACCCAGCTCCTCAGAGTGCAGGGTGGGGTCCACCAGCGCCTTGAGCTCAGTGCTCTGCAGCAGGTAGCTCTTGAGCTGGGTCATCATGGTGCGGATCTCCTGCAGCATCTCGGTGCTGGAGGTCTGGCGCGCCATCATCTCCAGGCTGTACACCGTGTAGTCCCGCACCAGGTTGCCGAAGTACGAGGCCCTGTCCTGGGCCAGCTCCACCACCTTCTTGTACAGCTTGCGGTTGGTGGACAGGAAGGCATGGAAGACGCTGCTGAAGCTGGCGAAGCTGAGCCGGTGCCTCGCCTTGCCCAGGATCATGGAGGGCTTTTTCTTCACGCTGGGGCTGCTGAACTGCTCCGGCTCCTCCTCAGTGCTGCTGGTGGAGTAGGAGTCCTGGTCCGTGATGTAGGCGGGCACCCCCCAGCTGTCCGACAGGGAGGCCAGGGAGCCCTTGAACTCTGGAGCGCTCTGGGGCCGGACGCTGGCCTGGGCATGTGGGCTCTGAGTCCTGGCTCGGGGGACAGGGCTGGGGTCTTCTTTGGGCTTCTCAGGGGCTCCGTGCTCCGTGGGGAGCTCAGTGACCTCCACGGCACTTGGGAGGACTGAGGCCAGCTGCCGGGAGATCCGTTTTTTCCGGGGGGGCGGGACCGGGGGCTGTCGGCTCTTCTTCACCAGCTCTGGCTGGCTGCCCAGCTCGCTGGCTCTGGCCGCTGCTTCCTGGCCCGGCTCCCGGGTCCTCTGAGGCCTTGCCCCAGCACTGTCAGACGTCTCCGTGGGAGTCAGGCTGGGTGGGGGTGCCATGGCAACGCCCACCTGCCCCCCCTCTGCTGCCGTCCCCCAGCCCACCTTCCCCCCACTCTGGTCCTCCAGGGACACCTTCTCGGAGACGCGGCGTCTGGGGGGAGCAGCGGGCGGGTTCTTCTTTGCCGAGACAGGAGGGGCAGGTGCCTGCTGCAGCGGGCTGGGGTCTGCCCCTGGCTTCACTTCTTCCTCTCTGAAGGGGCCCAGGCCTGTGGGGGGCCGCGGGAGCCTCTCACAGGCTGTCATGGGTGGCAGGCCTGGCTGGTCTGGGGGGCCTGGGGCATGAGGTGGCAGGTAGGGGGCAGATGCTGACGGTGCAGGAGGAAGGGCTTCTGGGGGCGGGGCAGCAGCGGCCCCTGGGGGAGCACTGGGCAAAGGACAGACTGGAGGAGGAGGAGATGGGGTGGCAGGGAGGGGAGGGGCAGGGGGGGGCGGGGGCGCTGGGCGGCGAGGGGCCCACTTGGAGGTGGGTGAGGTAGAGACAGAGGTGGGAGATGGTGGGCACACAGAGGGGGTCCGGTCGGCAGGCAGGGTGCTGCCGCAGTCCTCGATGAAGATGGGGTTCACAAACCACAGGCGGTCGCTCCCCAGGGACAGCTCGATCTCACAGGCACAGTTTGCATAGTGGGAGGCCGACCTGAGGCTGGAGTCTGGGGGCGCTCCGGGGGCTGGGTCTCTCGTGGGCTCCGCTGGGCTCCCACTTCCTCGCCGGGGGTTCAGGGAGGAGTCCCAGAAGCCTGTGGGAACAGAGGGAGAAGCTGCAGCCTGGAGCCAGACAGCTTGGCAGCGGGCCGTGGAGGGGTGGCAGCCACACTGTCATGGCATAGCTGCTTTGCGGCCCCGAGGCTTGTTTTTCCCCTCTCGGACTGTTTTAAGCCTCTCCCACCACTTCCTGCTTCAGGAGGGGAAGCCCCACGCCGCCCTCCCCCTCGGTGCTGGGGTGGGGCTGGCACTCAGCCTTAGTTCTGACCCCAGTGGCGGGGGAGCCACGCTGGAGGGCCCCGACATGGGCGGGATGCGGCCGGGGGAGCCGCCGGCATGTGCGGGGACGGCAGGTGCCCAGTCCCTCGGGCTGGCCAGCTGGGAGCTCGCGGTTCTGCCACTCGACCTGCTGGGCCGCAGTCTAGTCATCTCCAGGGTGGCCTAGAGCAGATGCTCTGGGCAGGTGTTGGCCTCCACGGTTGTTCCAGGCAGGAAGAACCGTGGACTGTGGCCAGTGAGCTCAGACCTGTCCACGCGGGGAATGTCTGCCTGCCACAAAACGATTCTGATTACTCCTGGGTGAAACAGGAAGCTGCCCCGGGGTGGGTGTGCTGGTGAGGGGGGCTCAGAACGCAGGGGTTCCTGCACAGGTGTCACCGCTCCGGCCTGGGCTGAAAGGCTTCAGGGAGCCGCTTGCTCAGAAATTCCTGACCAAGCCCTGGGGAGAATGCTGTGGAAGCTCCGTGGCTTGCAGGTGACTCTGAGCTCACGCGGCCAGCAGCTCCTGGAGAGGAACCTGGAACCCTGTTCTCTTTGGGGCGCTGGGCTGGGTACTGGCCTGGGATCTGGACCGAGTCTGGGCTTGGGGGCCGGGCTCTGGCCTTTGAATCTCAGTAAGAAAACCACAAATCCAACATTGAGGACAGTAATAGCCATGCATCGAGTTCCAGATGTGTGGGCTGCCCCCTTTCACGGGCAATGGCACTGAGCCTTTTGGAAGTCCTAACATTGTCCCCCAAACACAGGTCAAGATAAACGACCCAGAGAGATGAACTTGGCTGGTCACAGGTGCGTGGACGGGAGCAGGGTCAGAGCAGGGACGTGGACCCAGCTCCCTGTGCTGGGCCGTGGCACTCAGGGGCCCTCCTTCAAAGGAACTTGCGACACTTCCCATCTGGGTTCTGAGGAGGAGGGTGGTATGTACCCCAGAACTGGGGATGTGGTAAGAGCGTGACAGGCTCTTGACCCCGAACGAACTGACATCTCAACACTGTGCACACCTGCTCCCAAAGATGGGCACTCTCAGGATGTGGCCACTGCCCACCCTGCTGGCCAGGGGGTCACAAGCCCAACCAAGACCAGCAGGGGGACCCTGGGGCCGTGGAGCTGCTGTGAGCATTGACAAACACCCCACTCCCACCCCCATGAGGTGGGCCTAGGAGGCAGCGTTGTCCTCCACACTGAGTCTGGCAGCGGGTTGGGCCAGTGACTCCAGTGAGGAGGGTGACAGACTTTCAGGTGACTCTCCTGATATGCAGAGCTCAGTGCACAGCCAGTCACCACCTGAGGACATGGGGGGCCCAGACTTGGGGACCGCCGGGCCCTCCCTCCCCCACTGCCTGACCCTGCATCTTAAGCTCCTCGCAGCTCCGGGGCACAGATATTCTGGCTGCAAGGACTGAACACTTGAAGTGTTGTGCCCCATCTACACAGGCCCAGGAAGTTTTCCAGAAAGGAGCAGCGGGTACCAGAGTGACGCCAGGAGAGCTGGTAGCAACCTTTGTGGGGGCAGAGGAGCTCACCTCCAAGCTCCCATAAGACCCGTGGATGCAGGAGCCAGTCGGGACGAGGCTGCTTACAGAGCTGCCCGCCAGGGCTGGACACTCGCCGCGACACTCTCGCTTCACGCCACGGCCTGACCGCAGCACTGAGCCTCTGGAGCAGGCCCTGACTGCAGGTTCAGAGTCAGCTCCAAGCCTTCAGCCCAGCCCTCAAGGCCGCAGGATCTGGGCTGGGCTTTGCTAGCATCCCTCTCTGCAGTGCGGGGCTTCCGGAACACCACAAGCTGCCCCGCGCTCACTCTTAACTGTCGCTGTTCTCTTTGTTTAGGATGCTTTTCCTGCCCCTCCGCCTAGCAAACTTCTACTCATCCTTCAAGACTCAGGTGTCACCTGCTTGGTGGGGCCTTCCGACACCTTCAGGCCTCACTGACTTTTATGCCCCCATGGCTCTGGCGTCCACTCAGGCCCCGCCCTGGGACTGTAGTCCTCTGGCTGTCTGGCTCTCCTTCCATGCCACTCCTCCCCCCCAACTCTGAGCTTCTGGAGGGCAGCCCAGTGCCTCCTCCCTCTGGGCATCTGCTGCACCTCACACAGTGCGGGCTTCGTCCCATGAGCAGGTCAGCTCCATGAGAGGGGACTGGGCCATGCTGTTCTGAGAGTGTGGGCAGAGGGCAGCAAGGCGAGTCCTCACACACGGAAAGCAAGAAACACTCCCACACTCAGACTTGAAGGCTGGCCGGTGTGGAACAAACACTGGCTTCTGAGAAATGGGCTGGTCCCGGGGATCTAGAAACTGCCCCCATCCCCATAGTAGGCTGCTCCCAGCCAAGTCAGTGGCACTCAGGGTGGGGGCGGTTTCCAGATAGCCCAGGTTCTGTGGGCCTGTTAGGCAACCACAGTGGCACTGCAGGAATAAAAAGGAACTAGGTCAACTTTCTCTGCAGTCTGCAGAAGGCCAAGCTAAGCCACAGGAGAAGCGGAACAGGGTCATGCAATCCTAGTGTTTGGCAAAGCTACGGGCACCTATGCCTGATAGCATCACGCCAAGCTGTGGCTCAGTGCCCGGGCTCCGGCCTGCACTGCCTCTGTGCCTCAGCCCCCACCCCGAGACTGAGGCAACACCGCCACCTCTGTGACCTCCCACACCTGTGACCGGAGGCGGGCACCTCTGCAGATGTCCACACCTCTGAGGCTCGGAGGGCCTGAGTGGAGGGCAGTCGAGGAAACACCACACTGGAGATCCCCGGGCCAGCAGAGGACAGAGACGGGTGGGTGAAAGCTGCAAAGGATTCCAGATGCCATGGAAACAGCTCGAAAGTGCATGAGTTCAGAGAATAAATATTTATACAGCATTCCAGGGATGGGCTGTTGGACTCATTTGAACTTGAGTGTTCAATGAATATTTTAACGAGGAAAATTCTTATGATGCAATGTTGAGGAACAGTAAGCTACATACCCAACTTGAAAGTGTCATAGACAGGGGCCCTGCCTACACATCATTTTACAAGATCAAAGCTCTCTACACCGCAAACATGTCTGAGAAGCTCTGCCAGTGTGCCCTCGTACGCTGCTGTGCGGGTCCTCGGTACCCCCAACCACTGCACAGAGCTTAGTGCTGAATTGCCCCCTACATGTGTTTTGTGGCCCTAATTAGCCTTTGAAATCCAAGGATATCTACACAGGCTGCCCCCCTTTTTTTGCATAGAAGAACTGGGGTGTAGCCAGAGTGTGGCGGAGCAGGATTCACCAGAGACAGTGGGGAGCAGAACAGGCTGACCGATGAAGTACACTGCTGAGGGGAGCAGTGGGGAAACGGGGAGACAGGAGAGGTCTGCTGTGCCCTGGGGGTCACTTCTGGATGGGGATTGAATCGGCTGCAGTAATAGTGCTGAGACTTAGTGTTTGGCCTCCAGGGAGGCCCCCTATAGCCTTTTGAGTGGCAGTTTTCCAAGGCCTAAGTCTGACTTTCACCTATCAGCTCCCGAGAGAAGACTGGATTAACACCCACTGGGGAGCCCGGCGCTGCCCTGGGGCTCCCCTGTCTGTCTGTGGGGCACAAGTCAGAGATTTATCTCATTTGATTCCATTTCTAAAAGGCGAGTAGAACGCTACAAAAATAAGATTGCTGACACTTATGATAAGACACACATGAGGCCCAGGAATTTATTCCAATGGCAAGGTGGTCAGATGGGCTGAAAATCTGGTTAATCTTTACCCTTCACGTGATCTTTAGCTCTAAACTCTAGGAAAAAAAATGAAAGTTATAAAAAATATTCAAAGAAAACCCAGCGATATGGCAAGATACAAAACTGCATTTCACTGAATGTGTGCACAGTAACGCTTGGAGAGGACACCCCACCCCCCAAAAACAGTGATGGTGGGGTTATGGGTGAGTTTCGTCTTCGTCCCTTTGTCTTGTTAGTTAAAAACAAACAAACAAACAAAAACTTCAAAAACTGGGCTGCGACATGCAACTAAATGAAACTAGACTCACTCAAAGTGGGTAACAGGCTTGAATGTAAGGCCTGATTCCATAAAATGTATGGAAGAAAACATAGGCAAAGCACGCCTTGACTTCAGCCTCAGAAGAATCCTTTGAGGAGTCTTCTCCAGAAACAAAGAAAACGAGAAAACGATACACAGTTGGGACTACATCAAGCTAAAAAGCTTCCGTACAGAAAGAGACAATAATCAAAACAAAGAGACATCTTACTGAATGGGAGAAAATCTCTGTACAACATATGCTGATATCAAAGATCTACAATGAACTTATACAACTCAACAAAAAACAGAGGAAACAACCCAGTCAAAAAATGGGCAAAAGGACACTTCTTCAGGGCCCTCCCTGGAGGCGCAGCGGATTAGAGCACAGCACTGAGAAGCTAAAGCCACTTCAGCATGAGTTCGATCCCCACCCTGGAGCTGACCCACAGGGCACAGCAGACCTCTCCTGACCCACCTGCTGCTCCCCTCAGCACTGTACTTCGTCGATCGGCCTGTTCTGCTCCCCAATCTGTCTCTGGTGAAGCTTCTCACCCCCTGCACCTCTGGCCTGTACCCCAGTTCCGTAGGCATCAATAAATAAATCTTAAAAAAAAAAAGACACTTCTTCAAAGAAGAAATGACCACCAGGCATATGAAAAAAATGTTCAACATCACTAGTTATCAGGGAAATGCACATCAAAACCACTGTGAGATACCACCTCACACCTGTGAGAATGGCCCACATTAAAAAGCACCAGAAACAGCTGCTGGAGAGCATGTGCTGTAAAGGAAGCCTCTTATACGCTGGTGGGAATGCAAAGCTGTATCTATGGAAAGCTGTGTGAAGGTTCCTGTGTCACTAAAATGGATCAGAAGAACAACAACAAAATAGGAAACATATTATCCAGAGATTCTATTTGTAGGAATCTACCCAAAGGACACCAAACTCTAATTTTTTTTGCACTCCTATATTTACTGCAGCACTAGTTACAGAGCCAAGATATGGAAACCACACAAATGCCCCCAAATAGACAAACGGATCAAAAAGCCATGGTATATTTATATGATGGAATATTACTCAGCAACCATAAAAGGCAAAATCACGCTAGCAGCAGCGACATGGATAGAACTGGAAGGGATTATGATTGGAAGGGATTATGGTAGCTGAAATTAGTCAGAAGGAAAAAGATAAACGCGGGAGGGTGCCACTTATATGTGTACTACAGAGAAACCAAAATAAAGGTCAAGAAAAAGTCAAAACTAGCAAACTGACCTGAGGCACAGAAAAGCAGGGGGCAAAGAGGGGAGGGACGAGCACAGGGAATATGGTGATGGCTCATGGGTGATGCAGGGGCGGAATTATGGGGACCACGATGTAAGAAAAAGAATGAATTTTTAAAAACTATAGGGAAAAACCCAACACCAAACACAACAGACTGGACTTTTATAGTAAGAAAAAGCTGTAATAAAGAGAAGCAGGTATGGGGTTTGAGGCAGAGGATAGGGGTCTCTGTCTCCCCAACCCCATCCTCATCCCAGCCCCTGACCGAAAGGGCTCTACCACTGGCTTCCACCAGGGGCGCTGTAAGCACGAGGAAAGGGCAGGGCCTGAGGCTGTGGGGAGGCGTCCCTGAGGCAGGCCGGGCCGCACCGTTACCTTACAGCGAGCAAGCCCTTCAGTCCCTCTCAGTTCCCCCCCTTTCTCTCTTTCTGGGTAAGGGATTCACTGGAACACGAGTCACATACTTCATAATTCACCCACCCTGGGGGGTGGGTATTTTTACTTATCACTATTAATTTTAGAACATTCCATCATCCCAAAAAAACGCCACAGAGCACTCACCCCACAGAACAGTCACCACCCCACCCTCTCTCCTCAGCCCTGGGCAGCCATGCATCTGCCTCCTGGCTAGGTTTGCCTGTTGTGGACACGCCACACGCGTGTGAGGCCGTGTGACTGGCCCCCACCTAGCGCGTCCCCAGGCACCTGGTGTATCGCCCACCACCTGCTTCCCTTTGCCGAGTAAGCCTTTTAGGCCACCCTGAGTTTCCCTCCCTCAGCTGTGAAGCGGCATTGTGTGACAGGAACTGAAATCAGCATGCGTGGTGAACACGTGGTGGTGAATACTGCCACTCCTGGTGTTCCCTGCACCAAGTGACCCCCAGCTCATGGGTTCCCCATCACTGCACTGGCTGTGATCACCTTGATCCTCCCAGGAAACCCGAGTGAGAGCCTGGGTGGGTGCGGGTGGGGGTGCTCAGAGGCTGGCTGGTGGCCGGAGGGACCCCACCGTCAGGAGGAGGTGCAGATGCAGCTCCCCATGAAGCCATCTGACCTACCTGCTCCGTTTCTTGGAGAAGCCCCAGTCCTTTTACTAAGTCTCTTCACCTCTGAGAGCCTGACTAGGTTTTGGTTCTCTGGAGCCAGGCATGAGGCCTGGAGCCAGGCACAAGCCGCTGTCTGCACAGCTACTGTCAGCACTGCACGCCCGGGCCAGCAAGCCCACGCCCCTGCCCAGGCCTCTGTCCCAGGTGTGCCCTCTGCTCTGCAGCCTCATCCATTCGGGGCGCAGACTGAAACGTGAACTCTGGGTTCCAGAGAACAACTACTCAGGTAGCCCTGCTTTCTGTCCACCACCCCGTGCATGGGACTCCAGTTCTGGTCAGAACCTTCTAGTTCTAAAGCGGAACATACTCAGGTTTCTTTTAAACTCCCTCTCAGGAACGGAGTGCAGACAGACATCTGAATGCTGCAAACACCCTGACTGGTGCCTCTTTCCCCGCTTCTGATCACACCAAGATTAAGCCCCCAAGAGAGAAGGATTATCTATTCTAGAAGGGAATGTGGTTCTCCCAGGAGCAGCAGCAGCTTGTCTCAAATACAGCATGTCTTTAGGTCTTGGGGGCAGCCATGATCCTCCTGGAGCCTGCAGGGGCCCCCGGGACCCTGACAGTCCCAGGGATGCCCTCCTGTACCCAACAAGGGGGGTCATGGGCTACAGCACACCAGCCCCTCTTCTCAGTGGTTCTCCCCAGACCCAGGCCAAGCATTTCACCTGTCCTCCCAACTTGGCCTAAAACTGATCATGGATTACCTGTTGCAAATACAACTGAGGAGATGGAAGGGGAGGTCAGGGACAGAGCAGAGGCCATGCACGCCTGGTGCACGTCCCAGCTGGCTTCATCCCCACCAGGGGCACCAGGGGCAAGTTTCTCTGCTGTGTTTTTTAAGATGGAGACAGGATTGCACAAGACAGTGTCTCCAAAGGGTGCTGCAGTCAATGAAAACCATCGTTGCCATCAGAGGGCAAAGTTCAGTGTTTGCTCTCAATAGCAACTGAAAAGTGACCCTAAGATTTGTGAACTTGAGACTAAGAGGGGTGGGTGAAGAGCTCCAGGACAACATGAGAGGGGAGTGGGCACCACAGCTGGCACCCAGCTCTGCTGTGGACTGCGACCTTGGACACGTTCCTTCAGCTCTCTTGCCCCAGTTTCTGTGGCCATAAAACAGATGAGTGACTCAAAAAGGCGTGGTCTATATACATGGACTACTACTCAGCAATCAAAAATGACAGGCAACTGCCACAGCAGCAACATGGATGGAGCTGAAAGGGATTATACTAAGCAAAAAAAAAAGTCAGAAGGAGGAAGATAAATATTGATAGCTCACTTATATGTGGAATAGAGAGAAACTAAACAAAGAATCGATCCTAAACCTTGAGGCATCCTGGAGGGAGGAGGGAAAGAGAGATGTGAAAGCAGGGGTGGGGGAGGGGAGTGCACAGGGACTATGGTGTTGGACGATGGATGCTTTGGTGGTGGGAGAACTACAGTGACCATCCCGGGGGGCAGAAATCCTGGGCTGTCAAAAATTAACAGGGATGTAAGAAAAAGGTACTTCATTAAAAAAAAAAAAATCCCAAGTGATACTGTAGCTTAAAAAAAATTCTCTGGTGCCGGCATAGCTGACAGAGGCTGCCAGCCTGGCTCCCAGCAGTGCAGACTTGGGGCACCTGGGCCCCCCTCCCCAGGGCTGGCTGGGCGACACAGTCAGGGGCAGTGCTGGCCGACGCATCCAGGCCAAACCCCCTTGTGGCGAGGTTCAGGAGACATGCAGCGTCTTGCTGGGGTGTGCAGGGGTGGGGTCGGAGGGCGTCTGCCTTTGCCTCTCCTTTCTTTTCCCTCCCCGCTTGATCCCTGAGAAGGCCAGAGAGCGGGCTGGCAGGGGCAGGATGAGGCAGAGCTGCCCGGCTCTGTGCTGCTGAGAGCACTCTGGCCTTTGTTCTGATTCCCCAGAGCCACTTCTGAGGGTAGCCAGCCCCTGAGGCCCCAGCACCTTCAGACCCACCGGGGTGCGTGTGACACCCCCAGAAAGCAGCTCAAAGGTGTTGCTTTGAACACTGGGAGCATCTCCCATCATGAGGGCTGGGGCAGGCAAGCGGGTGGTCCCGAAGGAGCCAGCTGGATGTCAGCCTGAGGTGGTCCCTCTGCCTGGGGGTCAGGGTCCTTGTCCTGGGGTCCCTTTTCCTAAATCCCCACCTCTTCCCTGGCCTATAGGAGATGACTTACCCAGGCCCAGGTTGGAGATGGTCTCGAGGTCCGTGAAGCTGCTGGCCTCCACGATGGCCTGGGGCAGCCTCAGTGTGAAGGGCAGTAAATCTCTGTGGAGACACAAGGGGTCGGAGGTCATGCTGGGGCGGGAATCACGTGTGCCATTGCCTGGCCCCACAGCCCCCAAACCCACATCCTGAAAAGGAAGCACCCCAGTAACCCTGCTGGCTGTTGGGGTCTCCATGCAGACTGGAAACTTCCTGGGACTGAGGGGCAGAGCGCTGAGGCTGAGGGACTGTCCAGTCAGGAGGGATGCAGAGGTGTGGCTGTGGGCAAAAGGCCATGTTCTGGGTAAAGGAGACCCTTCTGGGGAGTGGGGGGCTCATCTCTTCCCCCTGGTTTTCCCCGCCTGCAGAAAGCCCAGGCAGCTTCTGCTGAAGGTGACATTCCGGGGAAAGTATGTATGTGCGTCTTCTGCCCTTTCTCTGGTGCCCCGCCAGCAACCTGAGGCGTTCCCCAGGTGGGGGTGGGTGGGGCAGAAAGTCCCAGTCCTCTAGTCCCTTGGTCTCCTGGCGCCCAGTGCCATGATGGGGCACTCGAGAGCCCACCCTGGGTCACCTCTAGTGTGAGTGGAAAAGTCCCCTTCAGAATAACAAAAGACACCTCTGTCCAGGAAATCCCAAGGAACAACCTGGACAAAGATCGCTGGACAAAGATCAAATGTGCTTTTGTGTTTAAACACACCCCAGCAGGCATGACCCAGAGTGAAAACACTATAACCGTGCATGTCAGTCCCAGTTCTTTGGCACAGACTAGTTCTCTCTTCCCCAGGGGGCTCAGCACCCACTCCTGGTCCTGTGAAGCTTTGGGGTGACCTGAGGAGGGGCCCCAGGACTGGAAGCTCCATTAATGGCAGTGATGTCAGAGACCCCCTCAATGACCAATGGCACCCTGGTTCTACCTCCTAAGGAACCTATGATTTGGAAAATCAGTATCTACAGAGGGGGAAAGGCATAACCTCACTTTGGTCAATTGTTTTTTATTCATGATGATGTCATCCTTCGTTTTTGTGCAATGTATGATTTCAGAGCTAAAAATACACTTCTCCAAAGAAGAAATGCAAATGGTAAACAGGCAAATAAAAAATGTTCAACATCACTTGTAATCAAGGAAATGCAAATAAAAACCATAAAGATGCCAGCTTACACCAGTGAGAATAGTCAATTTTTTTTTTTTAAACAAAAAGAGGTTTGTCCTGCCCTGTTAGCCCAGGAAGAGCCATAAATGTCAGAGGGTGCCGGGGGGCAGGCGGGGAGGGGGCAGCTGGCCGCCGTGAACTCTGGGGTGGACAGAGCCAGCTCCAGCCCACTCGGCAGTCCTGGGTGTGAGCCCCCCAGCTCCGGGTCTGACAGGCGGCGGGTCTGGACGGATAAATGGTGGCATGCAGAAAACGCACAGCGCGCGCGGCACCTCACAGGTGCTCCTTCCTCCTAGCGGGGGTCACGGGCGCTTCTGGGGACCTCTCAGCCGCAGGTCGGCCATCTTCCCAGCTCCCAGCAACCAGAACCATCCACGGCAAGATGGCGGCTCCTGGCTGAAGCCCTGGACAGAGGGACGGCGCCCTTCAAAGGCAGAGAGGCCAGGCCTCTTCCTGCCCCTGGCGGTCAGCTTAGTGACCAGGCCGGGTGCCCGGCCACCTCCTGGAAAAGGCGGATCTACGGGGCTCCTCCCTCCCTTCTTCTTTTCGGTTAACTGGGCCCATTTTCTGAGACTACGCACTCCTGACCCCAGGGTGCTGAGGCTTGGGGTGCGCGATCCCCGATCCCCGTAAGAGGGCCCAGCGTGCTGCCGGTACAACAGAACGACCGAATGTGTTCCCGCTCCTGCCCACGCTCTTGACCTGCCCGGGACAGCAGCCCCAGGATCTCCTGGGTCCCCAGCCTCCCCTTTCGCATGGCTGCCTGGACCAGCTCCCACAGCCTACCCGGTAGGCACCTCCCCGGCAGCCGGGAGCAACCCTGGCAGAGGCCAGGTTGGCCATGGCTGCTGGCTTGGCTTCCCCAGCCGCAGACTTCCCTCCGGCTCAGCTAGCCGCGCCCAGCTTCCCGGTGAATTCCTGCGCTTCCCACAGCCAGGCCTTGCCCACGCTGTTTCCTCATCCTAAGTTCTCTTCCTCCCACATTGCCAGTCTCCACTGTGGTCAGACCTCTTCCTCCCGGAAAGCCCTGACTCCCCTGGGTGGCAGGGGACGGAGGTGGGGGAGCTGCCCACACCCCTGGGCCGCAGACCTGCAACTGTGTGAGGGGGAAGCCGCAGGGGCCTGGGAGCGAGGTATGTGCGTCCACGCCTGGCCGAGAGCTTAGTGGTCAGACCCGAGGCCTCAGTTCCCTCACCTGCATCAGTGGAGCACGTGCTCACACTCTCCTGGAGCACGAGCCGAGGCCCGCGAGGCCCCTGCCAAGCCTTGCGTGTGGCCCTTGGTGCACCCCGGGGCCCTCAAAGCACCCTGGGGATGCAGGTGAGAACAGCTACCCCCAGGGCGGCTGGAGGGGCAGCCCAAAGCTGGGCCCAGCAGACACTTGCTGCCCACCCAGGCTCTTCACCCCCTCAGGGCCCAGCTCTGGGGGGCTGGTCCTGTGAGCTGGCACCGTGACCCTCACAAGTAAGGTTTGTCCTGCCCTGTTAGCCCCAGGAGGAGCCATAAATGTCAGGGTGTGCCTGGGGGCGGGGGG